ACGCTATTCACGAAATTTACCCGTATTTCGCTCTAGCGGCCTCGGCGTCAACCTGACTGTTTCGTACCTATTCCAGATACTAGATTAACTACATCTCTTAGTAGCTAAGCAAGGCGGGTTCTAACTCGGGTACTCTGAGGGAAGCGTGGGGCGCGGGGATACTCGGAGGCGAGGGCAAACGGAGCGCGGGGATTCTTCGGAGGTGGGGGTATGACGTCATGCGGAGTGGTAGTAAGGTATCATAGATTTTGGGGACTGTAGTCACGTACAAGACAACAAAAAACATCACAAAAAAGGAAATATTGCCATGAACAAAAAACGATACAAAAACAAATAGTTATAGAACGAAAAGTGTTACAAAGGGTATATGCTCCAACCGTTTTTCGACCGAGATATAGCGTAATGTAATTTTTCTAGAAACAATATTTATTAATTATTTTAAATATCTAAATACAACCAAGTTTCACAATTAATCGATTGAGAGTAGCTAAGCAAGGCGAGTTCTAACCCATGGGGCTAGTGGGCCGCGGAGGGTATTCGTAGGCGCGGAGAAGATCCCCGGTTGCCGCCGCCGCAGGCCGCCGCCGCGGATCCCGCGCCCGTAAAAGTACGACATCCTTTTTTCTTATGACGTATTTTTTACAATACATTATTTCATACTAGCGCGTTGAGGCAAAGGATGGAGAGTAAAAGAAAATACAATATATATTATATATATAGTGATGCGAACGAATCTATTTTTATTCACATCTTATTACACTGATTTTTCTCATTTTATTATATTTTTATCGCGATCAGCAACGTTCAAATGTGATCGGTGGCTCGGACATTGTTAACAGCGCTTTCTGGAAAAAGAAAACAAAAAACTTTTTTGATTACTAATCGCTTTTTCAGCTTTTTCAGAATAAAATGCATTAGCACTAGTCATCCTAAACACGATACCTTATGGCTTATATTTTGATAACATTGATGATGAGGAACACGTTGGCGACTTTGATGATGAGGGACACGTTGGCGACTTTGATGCTTTTTCGCCAGGACATTCCCAACATCTCACTGTTTCCCTCAATGGTGGTGGACTTAGTGATCCTGGTGACAAGGGACGGTATCCCTTGCGCTCGATCGATTTTCGACGTATATATTCTTTTACTCGATCCATGTCGCTCGTAATCGATGTTTACGATTGAATGAAAAAAGCTTTGTACACTGTTTATATACACCGTCAGATCTGTGACATATCGCGACGCGTTTAACAGAAGCGCCGATGTTTCGGCTGCTAAACAAAGACATAACTCTTCTGCAGTAAGTGTGGAAGGCAGGATGTGCAGGGATCCGCACAAAGGTGAGTACTCCGAGTCGAACGCACCCCCTTTTTTGTCATCGATTTCTCTTTTATTACTTGAACATGCGTTCTCTCGTCTAGACAGTATTTACTTAAATTTTACGATCGACAATCTAAAAAATTAAAAGCTACGCTTTGTGATCCCACATTTAATTTACCAGTTTTCTGTTGTTGACGAGAAAACAACCTTCAACTTGCTTTTACGCGTTTGGAAATATGAGTTTTTATCTACACAGGATCCCTGATCCACATTTAGATTTTGTATTTACTGAACCAATCGTGTTTAAATAGGATTTTCTCTACATGATTTATAACCTTTGCTGTAAATTTTATTGCCATGGATCAGGCGATTCTGAGAATCTATGTTTTTGCTTATGTTTCCAATATCGTTGGGAAGATTTCTAATGATACGTTTCTTGAATATTGTCATGCTTGTCCTAACGACTATTTTTACCAAAATTTTCACAAAACGGAGAAATCGCGGGATCCACTGGACGTAACGAAATATATAATAGGTCAAAAGTGCTCGACATCTCAGTTGGTGTCTTGAGAGACTGTCTAATCGATCTCGAATAAGAGCAGCGTGAAAAGTGTGGCTAACCATCATTGAGAACACAGTCGAAATAGTCGAGAATATTGGGAACGCATACCCGCGACAACTCGAGAATATTATAAACGAAGTGTTTATAATAGAAACGGAAGTAAACTTTGAGGAGATACTGGACGAAGATTCTGACGAAGAAGTACTATCCGACGATAGTGGTTGTGCTAGCGATATGACCGAGTACGGATCGTGTAGAAAAATTTGTGCCATCTCCGGAAATCCGTGCACAGTCGTACTAAACATTGCATGATCCAGTGTTACTATACAACGGGTGATCCTTTAATTGTATGTGCAGCATGCATGGTCCTTTTGGCTGATACTGACGTTGTGGGACTGTATCTCGTCAGGAAACACGACATTAATTATATTGATGCGCTAGGCGGTCGGTTTTGCACGAATTGCAGAGTGTCGATGTATACTGTATTTCCGTGCAATAAGTGCCCAATCTGTACACATTGAAAAACTATTAAGTGCTCCATGTGTGATCTAAAGACTGAAAAAAAGACATGGAAAATCACGAGCGAGTGGAACGCGAACTGTTGGAGCAGTGCGGTCAGGTCACTATCTGGTGGAGTGTTTCGCGTGGCTGCAACGATGCGACGAGTGCAACGAGCGACTCGAAGAACTTTGTCGTGCCAAGCGTCCGCGTCTCGCCGTTGGACACAAACAATCCGTGGTGGCAAGGATCGCGCGACTCGCGGGTGCAAAGATACAATTAGAGCGACGTTTCGTGCACGTTGGTGCACGCAGGTACGCGAGTGGCGAGTACACGAGTGGCGACGAAAGATCTCTCGTCTGGCGAGAGATCGACGCCGCGTTTGAAAGCCGTATATTGACGGGCGCTGTGATAAATTCTAATTACATCGAGCCGCGGCGGGTTTTGGAAGACGCGAGAGAAATAGTGCTCGAGCAAGTTCGAGACGCTATAGAAAGACACGGTAGTGTGAAGGTGAACACTGCGTTCAACGGTGAGTTTGTGGCGAACAATAAACGTGCCATTACGAGCTGCGACCGCACTCAGAGCGTGGTGCCACTTCGTCGCGCGTTCGCGAGTATTGCTCTACCTCTCCTTCGGCGATACTTCCGCGACAACAAAAATACTCCACGCCACAACGGCTCTCTCAAATCTTACATACTCTAAATTTCACGTCAATAATTGGGCGCCA